CGCAGCCAGATCCAATGCCTCGAACATGCATGCACGGGACCCGTGTGCCAACTTCGTGCCGAACTGTGCGCCAACCCTTGAGAACTGCTGCCCAGGCAATCGCGGCCGATGCTTGAATTCCGTTTGCCGCGGATGCTCGTTTGGCTGTTATTTTTGCAATATCTTGTTCCGATGCTTCGATTGTCTTCCTCCAGTATCCCACAGTTGCATGGCTCTTCGCGGGCAGGAGTGGGAAGAGGCAGAGGGGAAGAAACGCAAGGTGGCAATCACCGAGAGGGACACTGAGCTAATGCAGACGAGGGAGCAGTTGGCACAGACTGAGCTTCAGCAACGAGCTGCTGCGCGTCTTCATGCCGAAGCAGACCGCACTCACATGGCGCAGGTTCTCAGGGACGTGGAAGTGAAGCAGCAGGCGGCCGCGTCGGAGCAGGCGCCAAGGGCGTCGGCTGAGCTGCGGGAGCCAGCCAGACGAAAAGCGCGCCCGGGACCTCGAGGAGAAAACGCTGCAGAAGAGGCCAGGCTCGCACTGGGTTGCCGCCGAAGCGCAGTCTGCCGCGCGACCAAGGCCCGCCCAGGAGCCCCAGTCAGTCGACGACAGCGAACACGCGATGGTGAAGGCGGAGGCCCAGGAAGCGATGCGAGCCCAGGGCGAGACGGTTGCTGCCGAAGCGGGCCTGGCCGCGATGCTCAGGTGCTCCCGGCCAGCGGCGGGGCGCTGCAGCCTCGCGGCCGCCGCGGCCGCCGGCCGGGCCGCGTCGATGGGGCTTCGGGGGGTGGCCAGCGTTTGCGACGGGGCCCGACCGGCCAGGCGATTGCGCTTTGGCAGCACACTCCAGGAAAGGTACAGCAAGCTTGGCGGATGACGGCATGGCGTTCGACGTCGGCGACAACGATGATGACGATGATGGTGGTTACGATGATGGTGATGATGATGATATTGGTGGTGACGATGACGATGATGATGATGATGATGATGATGATGATGATGATGATGATGATGATGATGATGATGATGATGGCGGTGATGATGATGATGGCGGTGATGTGGATGGTGATGACGACGGTGATAATGATGTTGATGATGATGGTGTCATGATGATAATGGCGTTGATAAGGATGACCATGATTATGCTGATGTTGTCGATGGCGGTGATGATGATCATGATGATGATGATGATGATGGATGCAATGAAGATGTGGATGGTGATAAGGGTGACGATGGCGACAATGACGATGACGATGATGATGACCATAATGACGATGGTGATGGTCGTGATGATGGTGATGGTGGCGATCAGGATGAAGACTACGATGACGATGGTGATGGTGATGACGACGACGATGATGATGATCATGGCGGTGGTGCTGATGTGGGTGATACGAATGCTGCTGATGATTCTGATTTCTGATGATTATGACAACGACGATGATACTGCTGATGCTGATGATGATGCTGCTGATGATGATGGTGGATGCGGTGGTGCTTGTGGACATGATGATATTAATGACGGTAATGATAATGATAACGATCATGGCGATGCCGACGATGTTGATGATGCTGATGTTGATCATGATGATGGTGGTGATGCTGGTGATGATGATGCAACTGATGATGCTGACGGTGATGGCGATTGTTTTGATGATGATGACGATGATGGTGATGATGATGATGATGATGATGATGATGATGATGCTGATGATGATGATGATGGCGGTGCTGTATTATGATAATGGTGATGCTGCTGAAGATGATGAAGCTGCTGTTGCTGATGATGATGATGCTGATGCTGGTGATGATGATGATGATGATGATGATGATGATGATGATGATGATGATGATGATGATGATGATGATGATGATGATGATGATGATGATGGGGATGCCGGTTATGAACATGATGAGGTGGAGGAGGAGGATGATATCAGGCTGATGACGTTGATGATGAGGATGAGGATGGCGTTGGTGGTGATTATGGTGGTGATGCTGCTGCTGATGATGATGATGATGATGAGGAGGAGGAGGAGGAGGAGGAGGAGGATGAGGAGGCGGGGGAAGAGGAGGAGGAGGAGGAGGAGGAGGAGGAGGACCAGGAAGGCGTCCGACGCAGGCTACGAGCGTCACCGCCATCGGGGCGCTTCCCAACTGCAGCCTGTACGGCTGCGCCGGGGACGCCGTTGCCTTGGGACCAGGCTCGGAGGGTCCTCGTCTCCCCGAGGGGGAGGTCGGGAAGGGGAGGGTTTCGAATGTTTGTTTGGCATTTGTCTTCCTTTTTCGACCTCGTTGGACCTTCCTGGGTACCTCGGGCGGCTTCCAGAGGCCTCTGGTGACCTTTGAAGGACCTCGTCGTCCTCCTCCTCCTCGTCCTCCTCCTCGTCCTTGTCTTCGTCCTCCTCTTCCTCGTCGTTCTCATCCTCCTCCTCGTCCTCCCCCTCGTCGTCCTCCCTGCTCCACCTCCTTCTGGTACAACTCATTATCACCCTTTTCCTTCTTCCACCCCCCCCCTCCTCGTCCACCTCTTCGTCCCCTCGTGGCGACTTCAAGTCCCGGCCACCGCTTTGAGCAGGATAGGGTCGACAGGGAAGAGGAGGAGGAGCAGGAGGAGGAGGAGGAGGAGGAGGAAGAATAGGACGGGGAGGAGGAGGAGGAGGAGGAGGAGGAGGAGGAGGAGGAGGCGGAGGAGCACGGATGAGGAGGAGGATGATGAGCAAATGAGGGAGGACAACAGAGAGGAGGTGAGGATGCGGAGGAATAGGTGGAGGAAGACGAGTTACGGGGACGAAGGTAACATGAGGAGTAGGTGGTGGTGGAGGTGGAGGTGGAGGTGTTGGAGGAGGAGGAAATGGAGAGGAAGAGGAGGATGATGAGGAGGAGGAGGAGGAGGATAACCAGGAGAAGGAGGCGGATGTGGATGAGGAATTTTGTGGCGCATCTCATGAAATGGCGCAGCATAGTGGCGCAATCCATGGGTGACGCACCCCCTGGCGGTCTCCACGGGGCTCCGCCCGATTGTGCTCGCCGTATGGGCTGGCGGTGGCACCCTGGCGGCGAGCTTGCCTCGTGCCTGCTTTTTTGTTGTTTCCGTACCCCCCCCCTCCCTTGTCCCCTTCTCAGGGACAGGGCTCCTTGTCCCGAGCCGTGTATTCTGACGGCGCGGGGGTCCCAGGAAACGGACTCCAGAAGCCGAGAATGACAAACCACCCACGACACCGCGATCTTTTCACGGGTCGCTTACCTGCTTGAAACATATCCCTATCCTTCTGTTTGGCGTCACCTTACCTCCGTGCCGATCTTGAGAATTCCATCAGTTTCTGAGGGCACATCCCTGAGACTGTCATCGCCCTGGGCTTGCCGATCTCAGGGGCAGGGATCAGTTCGAGGCTGGTTCGTCGCCAGAGCGCAGGGCCTCCGCAGGCCTCTGGACGTGTCTGGAGGTCTTTGGAGGCCCCCTGGGGGGCCTCCCGGGTCCCAGAAAGCATCGGAAGCGTTCGGGAGCTGGGGCCTTCTCGTGGCGGAGGAGGAGGAGGAGGAGTAGGAGGAGGAGGAGGAGGAGGAGGAGGAGGAGGAGGAGGAGGAGGAGGAGGTGGCTCGTGTGCAGCTTGCGGTGCGCCGCCGTGGAGAGCCAGGCGCGCGCAGCCGTGAGGCGGTCGGGGAGGGACGGCGGCGGGGCGGGCAGGGCCCCCGCCCAGGGAGCCTCCCCGCCCCGCCGCGCCCACGGGCGCTATCCTCAAAGTCGGGCGTGTCCCTCTACAGGAGGAAGCTTCAGAATTAGGAGGAAAAATCGTCAGGGGACGGTTTGACCCTAGTTTTTGGCTATTCGGGATGTTTTGGGACTCTGGTTTCGTTTTCCTCCACGCCCCGCCTGTAGGGGGACGTGCCCGACCTGACGCTAGCCCTGGGCTGCAGCTCCTGGGAGGTCAGAGCGCCCCTGGGCGCTGCTGCTGGGGTGCAGCTCCCGGGCGGTCAGATGCAGCATCGGCGTACAGTGCCGGTTTCATACATGCTCCGCGTGCGGACCATGCATTAAACATGCAGGGATTTGGTATTAAAAAACGATGAGTTCGTGCACACATTTATTCATACATTGATCGTGTATTAAAAATCCAATATTAAAACAAAATCCCATGTATTAAAAACTTCCCTGTACCTCCTGGGGTCTCATCCAGCACGATCGGGTCGAGTCCGGGCTGACCCCGTTTGATGCGGTGCCGGTCTCCGTTGTCAGTGCGGACGGGGCCAGAGCGAGGAGACGTTCGTTCCAGAGCGTTCCGGAACGCTCTGCAGAGAGCGTTCCGGAACGGTCCGGCAAGGCCGCGGAGCCGGAGACATCCTCCAGAACCGCCGGTTCGCAGAGATTCTCGATTTTTTTTCGCCAGATTCATTCTCGTCCTGGCTTCGTTGTCTCAGCAGGGGTCCTGTGACCAAGTGATTCAGAAATGCTGGGGTGGGGGCTCGCAGCGCCTTTTTTTCAAGGGAGGAAAAACTCGCAGGACTAGAGATTGACACCAACACCAATATCGGCGCTGTTCCTCCACCGAGGGAAGAACGATCCCGATCTCGGTGATGGTGGTAATATTTTGGCTTCCAAGGTGGCCGAAATATTACCACCAACATCGAAATCTAGGATCATCTCCCCCCTGTGGAGGCAGACCCCTTGTCTTGGTGTTGGTGCCCATTTCCAGGCCTCCAAAAAACCACCCAGACCCGACAATTAGCGTTTGCTAAACGGCCCTGGGCGTTTACTGAGCAGCCCTGCCCTGTTCGATTCCTTGCCTGGGCCCCGGGTGCGGGGTGCGTTTGCGAAACGGCCTCGCTTGTCGGGGTGATTCTGGGGGTGGATTTTCTGCCCTCTTAGGGGGCCTCATGCGAACCCTACCCCTACCCCCCACGATTTCTCAGGGGGAGGGTGGGGTTCACTTCGTGCGGGAGCTCCCGAGCGAAGGGAACCCCACCCTCCCCCTCAGAAATCGTGGGGGGGGTCAGGGGTAGGGTTCGCATGAGGCCCCCTACCTCTACTTTGGGGAAGTGGATGGAATACATCCCGATTCGTCGTGGTCGTCGTCGTCGCTGTCGAGGCCGCCGGGCCGCAGCTGGTGACCCAGACGAGCACTCCCGACTTGATTCGTCGTCCCTGCCCGAACGAAAGCCTGTGGCAGCATGAGGTCCTGTCCCTCTACAGGAGGAATACTCCACACAGGGTCACAAAGATGGTCGGGTGACGATCTTTCGACTATTTCTAGCTATATCTGAATATCTTTTTTGACTACTTTCAAGTTTTCCTCCAAAATCCGCCTGTATAGGAGGCCATGCCCGACCTAATTCTAGGAGTCCCGAATCGTTTCCGCGAAGACTCTCTGGCAGGCTGCCTCCGCACCTCGCCGCCGGCCGTGGCGGCGGCAGACATCCGATGCCTCGTTCTTTTTTCAATAGTGATAGTTTTTCCCGGAAAGGGCATGGGCCCAGGGTTCTCTTTTAGATGGTCTTCCCCCCGGTTTTTACTTGAAGGGGGCCGGCGGAATTCTTGTGCGATAAATTACGAGGTCGAAGGGGGCCGGCGGATTTCAATTGTGAGGACGAAGGCCATTTTTCGCCACCCCTCACGCAGATCGTGCTCTTGGAATTTTACTGCCTTTAAGGAAACCTCGATATTTTACAGGTGAAGTCCACTTTTTTCCGACATCGACTTTAAACTATAAAAGACGAGGTAAACGCGTTCGCTCGATAAATAACGAGGTACCGCGGCCTCTGGAACGGCGCTGGGAACGGAGTTTTGGATTCTTGAAGTTGCATAAGTTCGGAAATCGCAGAAATCCCTTGTGTTTTTTGACCCTGACCCCGCCGATCTGCGTGAGGTGTGGCACGGAATACCAGAAATGTGGCAAGTCCCCTGTGTTTTTACCTAACAGCTTTTGCTGATAGGTTTCTAGTAGGGTCAAAAGAGAGCATCATGACTCCTCAGGGGGGTCTGGGCGGGTGCCGGGGAGGAGAGCCGGGAATCGTTTTTCGCCAACAGTCACACACTTCGTGCTCTCCGACCTCCCAGAACTCCATTCCCGGGCCACATTCTGGAGAACCGGGAACAGAGCCGGGTTCGCTTTTCGCCAACAGTCACACACTTCGTGCTCTTCGACCTCCCAGAACTCCATTCCCGGGCCACATTCTGAATGCCCGGAGCCAACTGTAGGCCACTTCGTGCTCTTCGACTTCCCAGAACTCCATTCCCGGGCCACATTTTGGATGCCCGGAGCCAACTGTAGGCCACTTCGTGCTCTTCGACTTCCCAGAACTCCATTCCCGGGCCACATTTTGGATGCCCGGAGCCAACTGTAGGCCACTTCGTGCTCTTCAAGTTCCCAGAACTCCATTCCTGGGCCACATTTTGAATGCCCGGAGCCAACTGTAGGCCACTTCGTGTTCTTCTAGTTCCCAGAACTCCATTCCTGGGCCACATTTTGAATGCTGAGGCAGGCTGATGCTGCGGCCGAGGCAGGCTGAGGCTGAGGCAGGCTGAGGCTGAGGCCGAGGCTGAAGGCAGACTGAGGCTGAGGCTGAAGCAGACTGAGGCTGAGGCTGAGGCAGGCTGAGGCTGAGGCTGAGGCAGGCTGATGCTGAGGCAGGCTGAGGCTGAGGCTGAGGCTGATGCAGGCTGAGGCTGAGGCAGGCTGAGGCTGAGGCCGAGGCTGAAGGCAGACTGAGGCTGAGGCTGAAGCAGGCTGAGGCTGAGGCTGAGGCAGGCTGAGGCTGAGGCAGGCTGAGGCTGAGGCTGAGGCAGGCTGAGGTTGAGGCTGTGACTGCGACTGCCGTTGCCGCTGCGACTGTCATCGCGAATGCGACTACGACTGCGAGAACAGCAGAATTCTACAACTGGATTTTCATCTGAATCTTAAGGGGAATGCTTTCAGATATGCTTCTACACATCGCTGTTAGGTTGCTTTGCTGGGATAATTGGACCCTGACCCCGCCGATCTGCGTGAGGGGTGGCGCGGAATTCCAGAAATGTGGCAAATCCCATATGTTTTTGGACCCTGACCCCGCCGATCTGCGTGAGGGGTGGCACAGAATTCCAGAAATGTTGCAAATCCCCTGTGTTTTCGGATCCTGACCCCGCCGACCTGCGTGAGGGGTAGCACCGAATTTCAGAAATGTGGCAAGTCCCATGTGTTTTCGGACCTTGACTTCGCCCAGGAGGGCCCAGGAGGCTCCAGGAGAGCCCAGGAGAGCCCAGGAGGGCCCAGGAGAGCCCAGGAGGGCCCAGGAGGACCCAGGAGGCTCCAAGAGGCACCAGGGGACCCAAGGAGGGCCCAGGAGAAGCTCCAGGAGGCTCCAGGAGAGCCCAGGAGGGCCCAAGAGGTCCAAGGAAGACCCAGGAGGGCCCAGGAGCCCTTACGAGGGATCGTGGCCCTGGGAGTGCTGACGTAGCGTAATTTACGAGGGATCGTGGCCCCGGGAGCGCGGGTGTAGTGCATTTGTTTCAGAATTTGTTGAGGATGTCTCGAGCGAAACGCTTGTTTTGTGTTATAGGTTGTCCTCTACTGGGGACCTGAATTCTGAGGATCTCTCAAGCGGATTGCTTGTTTTCACGTGCCCAGGTCTTGAGGATGTCTCGAGCGAGACGCGTGGTTTCACGCCTCCAGGTGGCCTAGACAGATGTCTAGCATGAGGATTTGTTGAGGATGTCTTGAACCAGAGGCTTGTTTTCACGTGTCCAGGTCGCCCAGGCGGACGCCTAGCATCAGCATTTGTTGAGGATGTCTCGAGCGAGACGCTTGTTTGCACGTGTCCAGGTTGCCCAGGCGGATGTCTAGCATTAGGATGTGCTGACAACGTCTAGACCGAAACGCGTGTTTTCACGTGTCCAGGTCGCCCCGGCACAGCACAGCCCTCGGCACGGTACATCAATATCGATACCCTTAGCATTGCAGCCTGGCATGTTGCCTGGCACGTTCCGCGGAGAGTCCCGTGGCGAGTCCCCCTGGCACGTCGCGCGGTGCACGTCCACTGGCACGTTCCGTAGCGCGTCCCCTTGGCACGTCCCGCGGTGCGTGCCCATGGCCCATGGCACGTCCCCTGGCACGTCGCCTGGCGCGTCCCTTGGGACGTTCCGCGGCGCGTCCTCTTGGCATGTTCCCTCTGTCGATTAGTTCTGGGGCAGCTACCATCTGCTCAGGCAGCTCGAGCTTACGATCCAGATCAGTTCGGTCAGGACTCGGATGCCAGGGAGGACTCGATCCACAACGCTATAGAGAGCACAATCGCGGCATGGCACATCGCAGTTCAGCACGGCCCAGCACAGCACAGCCGTCGGCACGGTACATCAAGATCGATACACTCAACTATGCACCTTGGCACGTTCCTTGGCGCGTTCCGTGGCGAGTCCACCTGGCACGTCGCGCGGCGCGTCCCCTGGCACGTCCCTCGGCACGTCCATTGGCACGTTCCGTAGCGCGTCCCCTTGGCACGTCCCGCGGTGCGTCCCCATGCCCATGGCACGTCCCCTGGCACGTCGCCTGGCGCGTCCCTTGGGACGTTCCGCGGCGCGTCCTCCTGGCATGTTCCCTCTGTCGATTAGTTCTGGGGCAGCTACCATCTGCTCAGGCAGCTCGAGCTTACGCTCCAGATCAGTTCGGTGAGGACTCGGATGCCAGGGAGGACTCGATCCACAACGCTATAGAGAGCACAATCGCGGCATGGCACATCGCAGTTCAGCACGGCGTAGCACAGCACAGCCGTCGGCACAGGTACATCATCATCGATACATTCAGCATTGCATGTGCCCGTCGCCCAATCAGGTGTCTTTGAAATGTTGCAATGCCTTACATTTCTATATTCCTTTCCGGGTTCGTGGGTCGATCATGTTGTTTTTCATTGTTTTGCCGATCGGCGTGGGCCCCCCAACCCCCCCTCCCCCCCCCAGAGCAAATCTTGGCGGTCTTTTGGCGCCTGTTTCGAGCGGTTGGAGTCTCCCCCAGAGGCATCACTCTTGCAAACAGTCGCACTGAGCAGAGGTCTGGAGCCAGACCCTCCCCCCGCCCCCCCCCCTTCCGCCCAATGTCGAAACGCGAAATAAAAAAACGCTTACGTACGGGGTCCCTGGAGGTCGCGGTCCTTTCCCCAGGGCTTGTTTTTCATCCCGAGTTATTTTTCGACGGTCCCGGGGCCCGGCAAGGGCCCCCGGAGCCCGCATCGGGCAAACAAATTCGCGTCGTGCTTTATTCACGATGCGAGCATGTCTGTCAGCGGTGAGCCCAGGGAAGGAGGCAGAGGTGGTAGGCTTTCTCAGAATGCTCAGAAGGCCTTTCTGAGAAGTTTTCTAAGCCCTCTCCGAGGACACAGGCGGCTTCTCCGAAGCCCAGAGGGCTTCTGAGAAGCCTTGCGGCCTTCTGAGAAGGCCTGCCCCCTTTCACGTCTCTGGAATCGTTTCCACACAGACTTCCAAGCGGCTGTCGCCCAGGCTGGAGCCAGCGACCCAGAGGAGACTTGACTATTTATTTAATCGTCCCTGCCCGATTTGTTTTTGACCGACTGGCCGCCTTAGACGTATCTTTAGTCCTGAACCGTTTCCGCGAAGACTCCCAGCAGCTTTCTCCTCAAGCCCCCGCAGGCTATGGTCTCCCCGAGGTCCGACGTTGCGAAACACTGTAACATCGCACAAACTCACGACCAGATACCTAGATGGAGGGAAGAAGCACGGGGACCATGACCAAGATGTCGCGGGATCGTGTCCATGCCGATCTTGGTCATGGTCCATGTCGGCCGTCGCCGATTCGCGAGGATGATGCACGAACTGACGCTGACCAAGATCGACGCTGACCGAGCTTGACACGACGTTTCCGCGTGCTTTCTTGGTCATGGTCCCCTGTCTCTTCCTTTCCACTGGAGCACACCTTTCTTCTGATTCTGTTCGGGCCAGATAGACTTGTGATGGTCTGGTGCCCCAGTTCTGGCGAGAACGCCCAGCGTGAAGAGCCTGGCGAAGACGCCCGACGAAAGTTGCAGCGCCCGAGTCCTGGGTTGACCAGGTTTCCCAGCGCCCCCGGTTTCGGGTGTTGCCAGAAGTGCCCCCGGCCCACGGTGCCCCCAGGATCTCCAAGAAGGCCCCAACGGCCTCCAGAGCACCCCTCACGAGGCCCAGAGGGCCCCAGGGGCTCCAAAATTGAGCGAAAAGCTGTGGGCACCTTGGGCCCAGGGCACCTTTAGCAATCCCCGGTAGTTAGGCCTACGTCTCCACAAGGATTCTCAAGCGGCTGCCTCCCTGCCTTCTCGCAGACTATGGCTGTGGCGGCACGCCCGAATCCTGGTTAGGCCTACGTTTCCACGAAGACTCTCAAGCGACTGCCTCCCTGTCATCTCGCAGGCTATGGCTGCGGCGTCGGATTCCCCACGCCGGCGTCGGTTGTTTGCCTCAAGGGCCCAGCCAGGGCCATCGCAGGCCGCAAACGGCTGAACAAACTCCCGTCATTTTTGGTCGCGTCGCGAGCATGTCTGGGAATCGTTTCCGCAACGACTCCTAAGCAGCTCCTGGGAGGCCAAACTCAGCATCGGCGCTAGCATCTCCTTTGGGTCCAATCCGGCCTGATCCAGCCCAACATCGCCTGATCTGTTGCTAATACTGGTTTAATCGGGCTTGATGGCGTCCTATAGTGGCTGCGTCGCAGCGGCCCGCTGGGAAGAGGACGATTTCAAAGATATTTCCGGTTCTTCGTCGTTGCCGTCGAGGCCACCAGGCCGCAGCCAACCTAACGGCTCAGATGAGAACCGACAATTTGTTTAATTGTTCCTGCCCGATTCGTTTCAAACCTTTGGCAGCATTAGGTTTCTAGGAGTCCTGAATCCTTTCCGCCAAGACTTCCAAGCAGCTGCCTCCTCAATTCGCCGCAGGCTAGCCTTTTGGCAGCGAGCCCACTGAACGCAAAACCGTTTGCGGCGGCAGTGAGCTCGCGGAAGGCAAACAGCTCTTGCAGCAGTGAGCCCACTGAAGGCGAAACGTCTAGGCGAAACCTCTGCCTTTTGATCGTTTTCTGATTCATTGTTTTGCCGATCGGCGCGGGCCCTCGCACCCCCTCCCCCCGCCCCCCATGGGGCAGATCTTGGCGCTGTTTTCGGCGCTTGTTTCAAACAGGCCGAGCCTCCCCCGTAGGAGGCACTGCTCCGACCAGTCGCATTAAAGCAGAGGTCTGGAGCCAGACCCTCCCCCTTCCCTTGTTCGTTTGGCAGTGCAATGCATGAAGCCACCGAAAGCTTGCGCAGATATGTGAAACAATGAGCAAGCGCACTCCGCTCGCGTTCATCGCCGTCTGGTCAGTTTGGGCTGGTGTTTCAGCCAGCACGTGGGAATACCCACGTTCGCCGGCATTTCGTAGCTGCTGTGCGTCACGCGCTTCTGACGCCTGCAGCACACTTCGACGAGCGCGTTCCACTACTCGCAAAGTATCTACTCGCAAATGGCCTGGATCCCCCGCGGGGGGTCTACGATAAATTAGAATTACACCAGTGCAGACATGTGTTTTTTTCGGACGTTTGCGATCAGGCACTTTGCGAGTAGTGGAACGCGCTCGGCCACCACTGCCGAAACGCCGCAGCAGCTGCCTTCCCGCCCCGCCCCAGGCTACGGCTGCGGCGTGGGATTCCCCACGCCGGCGCCGTCCCAGGCGCCCCCGCCGCCCCCGGCGAGGCCCGCGGTGCCCGCGGGCCTGTCCTTCGGGGAGCGGCGGGGGCCGAGGCGAAAGTCGGGGGGGGGGGATTGCGGGCGCGCGGGCGCGAGCGGAGGGCGGAGGAGGAGGAGGAGGAGGAGGAGGCGGAGGAGGAGGAGGAGGAGCAGGAGGAGGAGGAGGAGGAGGAGGAGGAGGAGGAGCAGGAGGAGGAGGAGGCGGCGGAGGCGGAGGCGGAGGCGGCGGAGGCGGAGGCGGAGGCGGAGGCGGAGGCGGAGGCGGAGGAGGAGGAGGAGGAGGAGGCGGAGGAGGAGGAGGAGGAGGAGGAGGAGGAGGAGGAGGAGGAGGAGGAGGATGGGGGAGGAGGAGGCGGAGGAGCAAGAGGAGGAGGAGGATGGGGGAGGAGGAGGAGGATGGGGAGGGCAGGGGGAGGGGGAGGGGGAGGAGGATGGGGGAGGAGGAGGAGGATGGGGGAGCAGGAGGACCAGTGCGAACCCAAGACGTGGCAACGATGGTGCAATACACCCTCCTTCCGAGTTCACTCGTGCCGGCCGTGAGGCCATCTCTACCGCTCTGTAGGCAGTGCAATGGCTTCGCAGACACTCCGGGGTACGCTAGCATCCCCGCGCGCACGCGTGTGTCGCCGTTTTTCGGCTTCCCAGCTGGACGCTGTACCTCGAGTTTTGTGTTGTTCAAGACGCTTCGCGTTCGTCGCCCGCCCGCTCCAGTTCTCGCCGGACGAGGCGGAGACGGCTCCACGACGGCATGAACATGTGCAGAAAATCATACAAGACCCTGCGCTCCATTGTTGTTCGCATCCCATAGCCTGTTAGGGTCAGGCATGCCGCGTGGCTGATCGATCGTAGATTTGCCGTTTGGTCGTCGTCCCTTCGTCAGTACCGACGGATCAATGATATGAATGTTGGTTCTTTGGACCCTTGTGTATTATCCATACCAGGAGGCCAGAAATAGCCCGAACACTGCCCAAGATCAACCAAAAACGGCCCGAACGCTGCATAAAGGAACCAATCAGGTACCCAGGCGGCTCAGGCGGGCGTTGAACGGCCGAAGCGACAGCACGTCCGTGTTGGGCCGTAATTCCGTCGGAATGCCATTGAACATCGGGCTGGTCTGGGGCCAGTTTGGGTTTTAGTTTGGGGTCCACGTGAAGCCCAGGAGTCCAACATTGATCCTGGGCCGACTCCACAAACTGCGTAGGTGTGGGAGCAGGTGCATGCAGGTACAGCACGAGTTGTACGTCCCCGGTCAGGGGTCGGGGTTCTGACGATGCATGCAGGCGTTTGCGTCGTTCTTTTGTCTTGGACGTTATTCGGGGGTGGACAGAACCCCCAACAGTGACACGTCGATTAGTGAATTGTCCGTTTTCGTTTCTCGAGAGGGCGCCGTGGCCGTTATTTTCCAGGCTTGCGCCCGCCAGGTTTGGGCCTCAGGTCGTTTTCACTAAACCACGTTTTACTAAAGGGGGGTCTGTCCATCCCCGAGTTATGCTCCTCCTGGGCGTGGATTCGGGCATGGCGTGCGGCGTCATGTGGCTTCATGCCACAGCACACGTGCCCTAGGTCCTGGTGACCTGCGTGCCTGGACTGTGGGTTCCGAAGCCTCTTGGATACTGCTCGGGGTCCTCCCTCTCCTCATCCTCCTCCTCCTCCTCCTCCCCCTCCTCCTCTTCCTCCTCCTCCTCATCCTCCTCCTCCTTTTCTTCCTCCTCCTCCTCCTCCTCCTCTTCCTCCTCCTCCACTACCCCGTCCTCCTCCTCCCCCCCCTCCTCCTCCTCCACCACCTCCTCCTCCCCCGCCCTGGGTTGCGTGGGATGCCTTGCGAAGGCATCTGGATACTGTGAGGTGTTTGCGCTGGTGCAGTTGGTCTGACGCAAGCAGCACCGAAGTGGTCTCGTGAGCGCCCCGTTGTGGATCCCTGCGGGCGTGGATTCCTGGTGCTAGGGAGGCGTTTCGAGTGCTTCATGGCTGAAGTGACGTCCCAGTGGCACCGCCGGAGGCATATCGATCGAAGGGAGTGGGGTTGGACGAGGAGTATGCGTAGGATAATGAGGAGGATGAGGAGGACGTGGAGGAGGAGGAGGAGGAGGAGGAGGAGAAGGAGGAGGAGGGGAGGAGAGAGGAATGTAATAGGGGTGGCGCAGGGAACGACAACGACGACGACGACGTTGACGTCGACGACGACGACGACGATGGCATGGACGACGAAGACGATGACGTCGACGATGACGTGGACGACGGCACAGGTAGACCAGGCGTGAACCATAACAGTCTGTGTCCGCGAGCCTCCAGGTTGGCTGTTGGGTGCTTCTTCAGCATGTAGGGTTCAAGGTGCATTATTCGGGCACCAGTGAAGTCTTTCCAGGCCCTCTTGGGGATCGTGTTGGGGCGGCCGCTTCTGGGCCTCTTGGGGGCGTCTTCGGGCTTCTTGGGGGCCTCTTGGCTTCTGTGAGGTCGGCTTGGGTTGCGCTAGGGCCTAAGCACGCTCGAAACGCGTGCGTGGTTCTAGTATATACGTACGCGTACGTGTGAGTGTATGTCTGTCTGTCTGTCTCTCTGTCTGCCTGTCTGCCTGTCTGTCTGCCTGTCTGCCTGGCCGTCTTTCTGTCTGCATGTCTATCTGTATGTGTGTATGTAGTATGTTGTATGTATGCTTGTATGTATGTATGTACGTACGTATGTATGTATGTATGATGTACGTGTGCGCATGTGTGTAGCATCCAGCAGTTTCGGATAGAAGTGAGGGCGCGGACGCGGGGTGGGTCTCGGGGTGGGTCGCGGGCAGGTCGCGGGTGGGTCGCGAGCGGGTCGCGGGCGGGTCGCGGGCGGGTCGCGGGGGGTCGCGGGTGGATCACGGGCGGGTCGCGGATGGTCGCAGGCAGGGTCGCGGGTGGGACGACGACAACAACAAATAACACCACATAACAAACCAATAAGAGTCTCCACCGCGGAACCCCTTTTTTGCCACGCACCCAGAGACAGTGAAGGACCGTTCGCCCTCCCACTCGGATGTGTATATATGTATGTATATACACATATGTTTGTCTGTCTGTCTTTCTGTCTGTCTGTCTGTCTGTCAGTCTGTGCGTCTGTCTGTCTGCCTGTCCGTCTGTCTGTCCGTCTGTGTGTGTGTCTGTCTGTCTGTCTGTCTGTCTGTCTGTCTGTCTGTCTGTCTGTCTGTCTGTCTGTCTGTCTGTCTGTCTGTCTGTCTGTCTGTGTGCGTGTCTGTCTGTCTGTCTGTCTGTCTGTCTGTGATACTGTAAATATGCATGCATGCATGTTTGTTTGTATGTATGTGTATGTATGTATGTATGTATGAATGTCTGTATGCCTGTATAGATTTATATGGACATATATATATATATATATGTATACATCCACACTTTTACACACATCGTTGCATACATAGTTGCTGTGTGTATACACCATCGTAAAGGGCGACGCTTCCGACCCATGAAACAACAAACGATGTGCGGCTTCCGATGTCGTATGTGGTGCGTTCCATTTCGTATCGTGCTGGCTTCGTGTAGTTGTTTCCTGATTTGTGCGATCGCCCCCCCAGAACACAGGGACAGTACATCGGGAATGGATACAAAAAACACCCGGATGCATGTCGAAGCTTACTTTTCTTAGCCCTTGCCCCCCCCATTGTGTTGCAAGGTTGCGGCGCCAACGCCAGTGTATACAGGTATGTTGGAATCTGACACTGACTGCCTCCTCCTTCCCCCCCTTCCCCGAGGAGCTGGAGGCGCGCCTGAGCCGCAGCTGGGAGAGCTGGGCCAACACCGCGGAGGCGACCGATCTCAAAGAGCTGTCTAGGGTATTATGACGCGAAGGGTCTGATTTAGATTACGTCATGGCGGCAGAAGACCCGAAGCAGCGTGCTTTACGAGTAAACGGAGCTTCGTACTGTACTGTACCTGCGGGAGACCCACTGGGAGATTGTACGCGAAAGCGCACAGAACACCTTACGCGAGAAAATGCGGGATGGCATGCGTGAGACCATACGAGATAGCATCATACGGAGTATCATAATCTTGGAGACCCTCGTACGGGAGAGCATCATACGAGAGGCCGTACGCGAGATCATGTGGGAGACCATACTGAACACCGTACAGAAGACCATACGGCAAACCATCATACAGGATACCATCATACGGGAAACTACCATGCTGGATACACACTGGAGAACAGGCTGGATATCAGATTCCAGAGACCGTACTGAGGGCCATACGGGAGACCATATGGGAACTCATACGGGAGACCATCGTACGGGAGACCGTACGGCAGACGGAAGCGGGAGACCACACGGGAGACCATGCGGGTAGGAGGAGTAGGAGTAGGAGGAGGAGTAGGAGTAGGAGTAGAAGTAGGAGTAGAAGTAGGAGTAGCAGGAGGAGGAGGAGGCGGAAGAGGAGGAGGAGGAGGAGGAGGAGGAGGAGGAGGAGGAGAGAGGAGCAGCAGGAGCAGAGGCGGCGGAAGGAGGATGAGGAGAGAGGAGGAGGAGAGGAGGAAGGAGGATGGAGGAGGAGGAGGAGGAGGAGAATGAGAGGAAATAGGAGTAGGAGTAGAGGAGGAGAGAAAAGGCGGAGCAGGAGGAGGAGAGAGAAGAGGAGAGGAGGAGGAGAGGAGGAGGAGGAAGAGGAGTAGCAGGAGGAGGAGGCGGCGTTGGAGGAGGGGGAGGAGGAGGAGGAGGAGGGTGGGAGGAGAAGAGGAGGGAGGAAGAGGAGGAGGAGGGAGAGGAGGAGGATGAGGACGGCGAAGAAGGAGGAGGCGGATCAGGAGGAGGAGTCGGAGGAGGAGTGGAGGACAAGAAGGAACAGTAGGAGCAGAAATAGGAGTAGGAGAAGGAGTAGGAGCAGTAGTAGTGGTAGTAGTAGTAGTAGTAGTAGTAGTAGTAGTAGTAGTAGTAGTAGTAGTAGTAGTAGTAGTAGTAGTAGTAGTAGTAGTAATAGCAGCAGCAGTTGCAGTACCAGTAGTAGTAGTAGTAGTAGTAGTAGTAGCAGTAGTCGGCGTCGCCGTCGCCGTCGTCGTCGTAGTAGTAGTAGTAGTAGTAGTTGTTGTTGTTGTTGCTGTCGTAGCCGTAGTAGTAGGAGTAGTAGTAGTAGTAGTAGTAGTCATAGTCGTAGTCGTAGCCGTAGTCGTAGTCGTTCGTAGTCGTAGTAGTAGTAGTAGTAGTAGTAGTAGTAGTAGTAGTAGTAGTAGTAGTAGTATTAGTAGTAGTAGTAGTCGTAGTAGTAGTAGTAGTAGTAGTAGTAGTAGTAGTAGTCGTAGCCGTAGTAGTTGTAGTAATTAGTAGCAATAGGCGTAGTAGCAGTATAGTATAGTATAGTAGTAGAAGTAGCAGTCGTAGCAGTAGAAGGGTAGGTAGTAGTCTAATATAGTAGTTGAAGTAGTAGTAATAGTAGTATTAGTAGTAGTCGTTGTATAGTAGTAGTAGTAGTAGTCGTAGTAGTATTAGTAGTAGTAGCAGTAGTAGTGTAGTAATGAGTAGTAGTCTTAGTAGTTAGCGGTGGTAGTAGTAGACGTAAGCCGTATTAAGTAAGTAGTAGTAAGTAGTAGTAAGTAGTAGTAAGTAGTAGTAAGTAGTAGTAAGTAGTAGTAAGTAGTAGTAAGTAGTAGTAAGTAGTAGTAAGTAGCAGTAAGTAGTAGTAAGTAGTAGTAAGTAGTAGTAAGTAGTAGTAAGTAATAGTAAGTAGTAGTAGTAATTAGTAGTAAGTAGTAGTAAGTAGTAGTAAGTAGTAGTAAGTAGTAGTAAGTAGTAGAAAGTAGTAGTAAGTAGTGGTAAGTAGTAGTAGTAGTAGTAGTAGTAGTAGTAGTAGTAGTAGTAGTAGTAA